TCAATGCAAACAGAATCCTACCAAGTTTTGCTTACATAAAATTCTATCAGCCTCCTGTTAGTCTTCTCTCAAAAAAAAATGCTTGCCTGCATATTACACTCTGGTCATTCTACTTACAGTTTGTCATCACTATTAAACTATTGACAACTTGTTTATATCTCCCACCCTGCTGCTCCCAGCATAGTGTATGCCATTGCCATAGTTGTATGCTGTGATATTTTAAAAATGCTTCTGTTTTTAAGACTCCACAGGAATCACCACTGCTCCCTCAGGAAAGTTGTTTTGGAATTGTTCACATTCTTTACCATTTACATCTTTTTTTAGAATTGTACATATTCTTGAAATGTTTCAGTCACCAGAGACTTTGGGGAAAATTTTTAAAAATACTAATATTAAACATTCATTTAAATGATATGTACACAGAGAAGAAAAAATCCTTAATAAGGTACAATTTACAAACAAATTTTTCTTAAAAATAATATATAATATATAAAATTCTAAAGTAAATTGAAAAATACAACGGAAACAAATAATACTTTACATTCTTGGGCTCAAAAGAAATGGATATTTTGTGACAATGATGGCAAACTTGGAAAGCCTAAGGAAATGTTTCTCTGTAGTAAACATTTGAGTATTAATAATTTTCTCTCAATTCATAGGAATGCATGAAGCATTTTATCAGATGCTTATTTTACCAGGCCTAGATTTTTTTCTCTGTAATTGTGAAAAACACATTGTTAAATAGGCAACAGAATAGAGATAATAAACAATGTTTCCTTGCAGAAATTATGAGCCAAGAAATTTTATCTTTTCTTCCTTCCTTGTCTAGAACAATGCCTGGCGTATAGCAGACACTCAGTAAACTCAGTAAAGGAATGAATGAATGAATGAATGAAAGAAAATTAAGTTCAAGTCACATCCTATGTAATAACAGCCTAATATGCAAATTGACCGAATGGTGGAACAATTGGTAGAACAACCAGTCACTATGATGCCCACTGACCATCAGGGGACAGATGCTCAATGAAGGAGCTGCCCCCAGCCTGAAAGCTCCAGGCCAGCCAAGGCGGGTGCCAGCGGGGGCTCCTCGATCACCCCGCCAGTCACTCCGCAGGAGGAGGCGACTTGAGGCAGGGGTCGAGGTGGGGAGGGCCGGCCAGTGAGCGGGTGGTGGCAAGGGGTGGGGTCAGTGAACGGGCGGCGCCAGGCCAGCCAAGGCAGGTGTCAGCGGAGGCCCCTGATTGCCCTGCTGGTTGCCCCACAGATTGGCCCTGATCGCCGGCCAGGCCAAACACTACCTGTGCATGACTTTTGTGCACCAGGCCTCTAGTTCTACATAAACGGGTTTAAAAAATACATCTCTTTTTCTGGAATTATCATTCTTGAATAAATTTATCACTTTATATTTCTGGTTTTTGCTGAGTATAGAATCACTTAAAATCAAATTATAGTAGTCTCCCCTTATCTTAGGTTTTGCTTTCTGTGGTTTCAGTTACTGCCATCAGTTGTGTTCTGAAAATATGAAATGGAAAATTCCAGAAATAAACAATTCATAAGTTTTAAATATGTGCCACTCTGAGCAGCATTCTCACACCATTCCTCTGTCCCACCCCAGATGTGATTCATGCCTTTGTCCAGAATATCTATGCTGTTTCCACTCCCCACCCATTAGTCATTTAGTAGCTCTACTGTCATGGTATCACAGTGCTTGTGTTCACGTAACCCCTATTATACTTAATGCCTAAAAGTGCAAGAGTACTGATGCTGGTAATTCAGATATAACAAAAGAGAAGCCATAAAATGCTTCCTTTAAGTGAAAAGAGGAGTACAATAAGATATTTTGAGAGCAAGACCACATTCACATAACTTTTATTGCAGTGTATTATAATTGCTCTATTTTATTATTAGTTAATATTGTTACTCTCTTACTGTGATTAATCTCTTACTGTGACTAATCTATAAATTAAAGTTTATCATAGTTATGCACGTATAGGGAAAACATAGTATATAGATAAATGGTTTGGTACCATTCCCTATTTCAGGCATCCAATGGAGGCCAGGGATACTTTGAATGTATCCTCCTTGGAGGGGGGAAACTACTGTATGGCCTAGAGAAAATGTGGACAATGTGCAAGAAAAAACTGCCCAGCCCTCGCCAGTTTGGCTCTGTGGATAGAGTATCAGCCCACAGACTAAAGGGTCGCAGGTCCGATTCTAGTCAAGAGCACATACCTCAGTTGCAGGCTCAGTCCCTGGCCCCTGTAGGAGCATGTGCGGGAGGCAACCAATCGGTGTGTCTCTCTCACATTGATGTTTCTCTCTCTGTCTCACCCCTGCCCTTCCACTCTCTCTAAAAATCAGTGGAAAAAATATCCTTGGGTGAAGACTAACAAACAAACAAACAGCAACAAAAAAACTTGCCCAACCTTATTCAAACTCTTGTGTATGGTTCCACTGGGAAGCAGTTATGGAAGCAGTGTATTTGTTTTTAATAATTGCTTCACTACTTAGAAGCCAAGATAAGCTGGTTTTTAAAAATTTAATGATGCCAATAAAGATAGATAAGTAGATTCATGTAACAGAATAGAGTCCAGAAATATATGGTCAAGTCACGTATGTGGTCAGTTTATTTTTGACAAAGATGCCAAGGCAATTCAATGGAGAGAGGAAAATCTTTTTAAAAAATGATGGTGAAACAACTGGATACATGTAAGGGAAAAATTAATATCAACTCTCTACTTTGACCACACACAAATATTGACTCAACATGGATCCTAGAACTAAATATATAAGCTATATAAAATATATAAATAAATATATAAACTACAAAGCTTCTAGAAGAAAGCATAGGAGAATATCTTTATGACCTTAATATTTGTAAAGATTTCTTAGGCAAACTATGAAAATCACTAAACTTAAAAGAAAAAGAATTAAAAATTTTCCTTCATATAAATTAGAAACTTATGCTCTTTAAAAAAACACCACTAAGAATTAAAAGGCAGGATTTATATCAATCATATATATATATATATATATATATATATATATATATAGTCATATATCAAGCAACCTAGTTTATTTTTTAATGGGCAAAAAGCTCTGAATAGATTACTCACAAATAGAAAAGTGTATGAATAGTCAATAAACTCATGAATTAAAACTCAATATCATTAGTTGTTAGTCATTAGAAAAATGCAAATTAAAACCACAGATATACCACTATACATACACTAGAATGGCTAAAATTAAAAAGATTGCTAATCCCAAGTATTAGTGAGGATGTGGAAAAACTGGGACTCCCTTACATGCCTGGTGGGAGTATGAAATATTACAACCACTCTGGAGAAATGCTTGTCAGTTTCTCAAAAGTTAAATCTACACCTGCCTGATAACATAGGTATTCTATCCCTAAAAAATTAAGTGAGAAAAGTGAAAATATAAGTTCACAAAAAGACATATATAAATGTTTATATTAGCTTTTACTCTTAGTGGAAAACTGAAAACAACATAAGTATACAGGTAAAGGAATAAACAAGTGATGACATATTCATGCAATAGAATATTACTCCACAATAAAAATGAACAAACTACTGATACACACAAGGACATGGACCCTTCTCAAAAATATTATGCTGAATTAAAGAAATCAGATACAAAAGAGTATATACTGAATTATTTCACATATGAAACCAATAAAACAAGCAGAGCTAAAAAGGTGAATCACAGAAAGATCCATGATTGCTTGTTGGTAGATGAGTGAGTGAGGAATGGACTACACAGGTTATTGGACATGTTCTTATACTGATATTATTGGTGGTTACATAAATGTAATCATTTGTCAAAACTCATCAAATTGTGTACTTAAAATGGATGCATTTTATTGTATGTGAAGATGTAAAGATGATATAAAAAAGAGAAAATATAAATAGTCTAAAATGTGAACAGAAACTTAATAAGAGAGACAGACAAATCTCCAATGGCTCATGTAAAAATGCTCAACTTCATTAGTCACCAGGGAAATACAAACGAAACTACAGTGACATATAATTTCATACCCATTATAAAGTTAAACATACACCTGCCTTGTCATCCATCAATTTTAATCCAAGGTCTAAACCCAAGATAAATGAAAACATATGTCCACCAAAAGATTTCTGCAAGAATATTTATAGCAACTTTACTTATAGGAGACCCAAACTGGAAATAAACCAAATACCAATCAATAGAATAGATAAACAAATGTGGGAAAATCCTGTAATGCGATAATACTCATCTCTAAAAAGAATTGAACTAGTGATGTACACAGCAACATGGAAAACTATAAACAAAGAGGGGTTGGAGAATATATACTGTATTATGCTATTTACATAAAGTTCATGAACAGCCAAATTATCCAAATTATTCTCTAGTGATAGAAATAGGAACAGTGGTTGCTATGGAGGGAAGATTGACTGGAAGGGATGTGATGAAACTTTCTGGGTAATAGAAATGTCCTATATCTTGATTAAAGTGGTAGGTTACACAGTGTATATATTTATCAAACTCATTGATTTTAGGAACTTGAATTTAAGTTCCTAAGATCAGTTCAATTTCAAACCATGTAAATTTTATTTCAATTAATTAAAAAAATCCACCATGTCAATTGAGTATCTATAGATTTTATCACCCTTTTCTTTCAACAATAATTTGGCTAATAAACATATAGTCTTGGATTAATATTCAAAACATATTTTATCTACTTTTCTTTGAAAAAATATTTTAAAAATCATCCCTTCAAAAGAAATTTGATTCTTTTAGCTAGTAGAACATTTAATCCATATTGCCAGCCATCATGCAATGAAATAAAATATTTGCTATTTTGATTGGTAGTACTTGAAGATTTTTTTTACAATATACTGGTGAGAAAGAAGTGGAAAAGATCAAGATTATCTAAAATAAGTATCCCTTATTAGTTCAAAGGTAAGATTTGAGCCTGACTAGACAATAGAGAAAGAGCATACCTTCTGAGAGCCTCGCCTTGTAACATTTGTTCTTTGTCTTTCTGTTTTGGCTGTTATGGTGGGCTGCTGGTGGAAAGAGGAGCAAAATAGCTGAGAGCTCCCGGGTTCACATGCCCTCTTGCAGGAGTCCCTGTAGTATGCGAGGCTGCAGGAACAGGAACCCTAGCCTTTGTCGCCTGGATGTATCCTGGCAACCTGTCAACAAAAGGAACAGGACTGAGTTCTCTAGTAACAGATTGGAAAAATCCAAAACAAGAGGTGAAGAAACTCAGAAATAGAGAGCAAAATGGCCTCAGCTTCCTATGAAGTGGACTCCATGAACTTTACCAATGGAATGAGCATCGAACAAAGAGAGTCTGGTGAATTGAAGTCACAAGGATCGTCTTGGCGTGGAAACAAGTTTTTTCTTTTCTAAGGAAGAAAAAGAAGCAAAAAATACTAAATGTCTTATTGATCTTTTCTAGAGTCTTCAGAAAAGATCATCTATTTAGGAGAGCTGGGCCTCTTCTAAAAGAGGGAGATGGATATTCTCCATGACTCTCAATGGATGTCTGTGCTTTGGTCTAAAGTGTAAGAAAATAAAAGATGTAGAAGCTATGGTTAGTTTATTTTCTAATGTGCCCAAAGAGAGCAAAAATTTTTTAAAAATAAGGTCAACTTTTAATTTTTTGAACCTCATATTTAAAAATACTCTGAGACATTACACTAATTGTGGTGAATGAAATACTCTGCAAGCATTAAAGCTCATAAAGTAAAAAACAGTCTATTTCCATGGCAAAAAGTCCACAATACTGTATATTTCTAAAAAGAGAAGCTACAAAACAGAATAAACAGTATGATATCATTAAATTCTCTCTCTCTCTCTCTCTCTCTCTCTCTTTCTCTCTCTCTCTCTGTGTGTGTGTGTGTGCGTGCGCGCGTGTGCTCAAGTCTATGTGTGTGATCTTAACTCAAAGAACATTCACCAAAATGTTAACAGTAGTAATTGATGGATGATGATATTAAAACATCTTATTGAATGTTTCTTAGAGTTAGGAATTGGGGAGGGGAAGAACCCTAATCTTGAGGATTCCAAAACTGTACCTCATTCCCAGATAAATGAATTGGGATACAGGTGATTCACAGGACTGTTAGCTGTTGAAGTGATTTCAGACCACACTCTAAAGTCCCTGTTGGATAATGAAGTTCCACAGCTTAACACTCTATACTGCTCAAACTATGGATAGATACATCCTCTACAGAGCTTTACAGATACCTCAATTATACTATCACATAAAATAGTTCCAGTTTGAATCCCTCTTCTGAAACCTTTCATAATATGCCATATATAAATGCTGAGGTATGTCTACAATGACCTAATTGCTGCTGTAAGAGTGACTATCTAATGAGAGGGGGCAAGAAAACTTAGTTTTATATTTGGCTTTTTACCAACTTGTGGGTCCCTGGCAATATATTTCTTACTTTATACAGTATGCTTTCTCAGCCCGATTGTGAGCTAAAAGAGATACTTCTCTAAACAAATTGCCTAATAAATAAACACTATCCCAAATGCACACACAGTATCCAGGCCAGTGGCTGGCTATGTGGGTCAGATGGCAGAACAGATAGGAACTGCTGGCCTAGAAGAGGACAACCCCGGGAAAACATGGAGAGGGCAGGTATTTCCAGGCTAAAATAGGTCAAAGAGTTCTTCATCTGGACTGATCTGGGATGCCTGGGAAACAGCCCCTGGAGCAGTGGGCACGTGTGCTGGCTGGGTAGTAAAGGCGTCTTTGCAGGCTGGTGGGGTTGCAGGCTGCCAGCTGCCTTCCTCCAGTCACAGGAGCTGCTTCTGAAACTGGCTGCAGGGGAGCCTTTGTTTTCTCTGTAATTTTGGGCTCATTTGAAACTGGCTGCAGGGGAGCCTTTGTTTTCTCTGTAATTTTGGGCTCATTTGAAATTCATGGGTTTGTAGTTTCATCTTAAATTGAACACCCTGCTGTTCAAATTTATTTCATCCTGGCAAAACAGGCCTTCCTGGGTGCCTGCCCCTCTCTGCTCTCTCTCTCTCTCTCTCCACCTCCCTCCCTTTTTCTCTGCCTTTTAATAGGACCAACACTTTTAAGTGGCTTATTTTTTTTTTTTGAAATCAAATTCCAAAGGCATCTTGGACATTAAATAGCTCTTACAACACAACCTTTTGATGATTTAAGTGTAAATGAAGCAGAAACATATGGATTTCATTTCCCATAAATCACACACAGTCCCTAAAAAAAAAATCAAGGGAGAATGTGCTCAGCACGATGTATTCTGTTTGGTTGAACCCAAAACGTCTGAAAAATACTTGGAGGCTGATGAATCCAAAATATTTACCCACCCCTATTTATAACATGGTGGGGGAAAGCCCTTGATTCTTGGTGACAGCCAAACTGCTCACATCTGCCCAGTGGTCAACCAGCAACCAGCAAGAGCTTCAAGATAACTGTGTTCCTTCTTCTGTTCCCACTCCAGACACTTCACTCAGCCTCAGATCAAAGACGCTGAAGCCCTTACTTACACAGAGCTGGTCTGGTGTGGCATTGCTTGGGCTTCTCTCATCTAAAACAACTGCGAGTTGTTTCATGCTATTTGATGTCCGGTCATGTTTGTGTCACTGTGGGATGGTGCCAGCCTCACCAATAATCCAGATCTGACCCCTTGTGACAACAGCCCCACCACAAGGAATTCTGGCTCATTTCCCCTTCGTAAAACCACAGCTGTTGTGCCTGCACACCCCCTGACTTTTTCATTAAAGGAATAAATCATGGTTTTTATGTAGCAGAAAAGAATGCTGCTCCCTGCCAGTATCACTGACGGTCCTGCTGTCTGTCTCTTCATTGATGCAAAGCCCAACTCTTACTCTGAAAACTACTGATAAGTTTATTTAAACTGGGCAGGGACTATGTGTGCAAGAATTTTTCTTTCTTATTTTTTTTTTAACAGCAGCAGCAGGAACTCAAACAGGATGTTTGTGAAGTTTGGGAAAATAGGTCCACTGGGCGTCTTGTTCCCTGCTACCCAGTTGTTTACTTGGCCTTAACACTTAGCTCAGACACAGAGAGTGCCAGCCACCTGACATCCCTTATCTCAAATCCTTGATCAACCCTACAAGGAGAAGCCTCAGTACCCTTATTTTATGGATGATAAAATTAGGAGTGGAGGTTTTCAATGACTTGCCCCAATTGCAAAGTTAAATCTGGGTTTGAAATGTATGCCTTTCTGGCGCCCAGCGACTCCCCTTCCACTGCCTCCAGTGACCCCTTGTTGTCAGACTGCCACACAGAACAGTCTGACCTCAAAGGAGACTCAATTGTTAAGATATGCCTTTTGTCACAAGAAAAGTCAGACACAGACTGAGTTTAATATACTACATTGAACATTGCAAAATGTGTCCTGTGGAAGATTAGAAATAAAAGGGGAAGATAAACTTTAAATACAGACTTTTAAAACTCAAAAAAAAAGTACATTTGATGTATCAGAGTCCTGACCAACACATCTTAAATCCCTGAGGACTTTTTTCAGGGGCATGTTTCTCAGCCTTTTTTTCATTATTGCTTCCCTTTTCAAATATATATATAAAGGCTAATATGCAAATCAACCAAATGGCAGAAAGACCGGTCGCTGTGATGCGCACTGACCACCAGTGGGCAGATGCTCAGTGCAGGAGCTGCCCCCTGGTGGTCAGTGGGCTCCCACAGGGGGAGCGCTGCTCAGCCAGAAGCCAGGCTCACAGCTGGTGAGCACAGCGGCGGTGGCTGGAGCCTCTCGCACCTCCATGGCAGCGCTAAGGATGTCCGACTGCCAGCTTAGGGAGTGGGCCTAAGCTGTCAGTCAGACATCCCCCAAGGGCTCCCAGACTGCGAGAGGACACAGGCCGGGCTGAGGGTTGCCCCCCACGTGAGTGCACGAATTTCGTGCACCAGGCCTCTAATATATATATATATATATATATATATATATATATATATATATATATCTTTTCTAATCTCCCTTAACCATGAACTTTTAATGACACAGATATATCTTATATTAGCTTATGTATTATGGCCCTTTGATGGGCCACAAACCAATGTATTATCTAAAATTATGTCACCTCCAAAGCCAGTTTTTACTGCCTCTGTGGGAATGCAAGCCTAACAGATATACATCCAAAGAGCTGACAATGTTGGCCTCAGATAATCTTATGGTCAAGCTGACATACATAAAAAATGACCAAGAGGCCACAGAAACCATTCCTAAATTGTCAAAACAAAAAAGCACAGCATTAGTTTAAGAAGGGCAATAAGTGTATCATATTTTCTATGCACTCGAGTGGTTTTTATCATAAAAATGGAACTTTTGGAGCTGAAGTATACTTTAAAATAGCCTCTAGTCCAGCCAACTGTCTTCAAACAAAAAGATAGTACTGGCCTTTTTAAAATTGATGAGGCATCTAAGCAGAGGACATTGTTATTTGTTTATGTGCCACAGATTAAACTCAAACTCCAAAAAAATTTTTTTCAAAACACTCTCTTGCTTTATCTTTGGTATAAATGCAAACATTGCAAGAGCAGATAGAAGGATTCCTTTCTTTTGATCCCCCTTCCTATGGACAGGGGATATTTCTTCAGTATTCTATCTTACACTCTATGGATAAAAAAATATTTTGTCTATACTGTGCTATAAAACCTCCTGTTCCAAGGGCCTGAGATTTTAAGTATCTGTTGAGTCTAGATGACGCATCACACGTTCTGGCTTGCCAAACTGTCCATGCACAGCTCTCCACTCTGCTGTCCCACTTCTTGTTCAACACCCACTAAACTAAAGCAAGCACAGTACTTGTACGTAGTAGGTGCTCAGTAAATATTTGCCTACTAAGCTGGGTACATACTTTGTTAAAAGTGATAGTAATAGTGACCAGCCTGGTTGAAGATAACTAAAACTTAGAAGATGTGAAGGCCAGATTAATACTTAAAGTTTTCTACTAAATGTAATATAGACATTTTGAAATAATTCTGCCTTTCCGTTTAGAGAACTGGCAGAAGTCCAATGCCTTGTGGCATGTGAACAATAAATGTTTAATAAATACTTGGTCACTAGTTTATTATCCACAGGTTTCCAAAGCTGGTTTAAATTAAGTGGTTCATGACTGATAATAGTCTAATATTTACCTTTTCATGTGCATTTTATGAAAAGCATTTCAACTCTTAATTGAAAACAGTAAGTTATAAGGAATTCCCTCTTAGTCTCATTTTTTCCGTAAGTCTCACAGGGAGGGATGTTTCTTCTCTGGTATTTTGTTTCCTGGTTCGTCCCTCCTCCCTGGCACCTTTAATTGCTGCTATGCTACTGGCTTCTTCCCCTCAATCCTCATTCAGTCTCAGGTGTCCTGTCTTAAAAACTTAATCTGCATTTGCTCTGGGCACCCACCCTCTTCTTGGTAAAGAGTGGTCTGTCACTGCCTCCATCCCCCTCACAGCTTCCCTCGTTTGTTCAAGCCTCTCTAGCCTATCATCTGGATTCTATTCTTTTCTCTCACTTGAAGCATCTTCTAAGAACATCATTAGTGTCATTTCAATCAACTCATACAAGAGTTTTTCCAGTTTCCATTACCCACAATAATTTTGATGGATTTTATACTGTCAACCTCACACCTACTAGAAATCCTCTCCTCTTTTAAATACCCATTGAATAGAAAGTACAAATTCTTCACACTGACTTCAAGACCTGATGAATAGAGAAATATAATCTATCCAAGAAGTAAAGCATTCAAACCCACAGTCCCAGCCTGCAGTTCCTTGCATAGAGGCTATTGGTCACCACCCTGAGGGAGTGGGGAGAGAGATGGCCCTGGTTAGCAAGCAGCCCTGTATTCTGAGACCTAGAAAGGAAGAAGAGAGGTTACTCTAGTCTTGTGCCAGGCAATCTTCTATTGAGTTCTCTCTTTGCTATTGTAGGATGAAGTTTTCTGTCTCTCTTTCCTCCCTGATTTCCTACAAGTTTTCGCTGAGATCAAAACATGGCTAGAGAAATAACTTGTGAAAGCTTTACCAAGGCATTGGTCAATATCAGCAAGACCAAGTTTGTTTGCCTTGTAGAGGCCATCCCTGAACTCTGCAAGAAGCCTCGGGCTGATTTTTGTGGATGCTATTTCCCCGTCGTCCCAGGGAGCTGTGAAATGAAGCTAGACGGAGCACACATGGTAAGGGAAACCAGCAGAAGACAAGATTTTCCAGACACCCACCCTAGTCTGACTCTGTTTGAACCAAAATGAAACTTGATAGGAAAATCGCCCTCTGAATCAGTAATTCTCAACCAGAGATGATTGCTCCCTGTCTAGAGTTATTTCTGGTTGTCACATATGAGGTGGAGGGAATGTTACTGTCATCTAGAGGGTGGGAATAGAGGCCTGGGATGCTGCTGAACTTCCTACAATGCACAACCCAGCCCTGCACAGCAAAGAATTATCTTGTTGAAATGTCAATAGTGCCAAGGCTGAGTCTGATGCTCTGGATTCTCCATGTGTTCAGATGAGAAGGCTTTCTTTCTAGAATAGGCTGTGTCCACTGGCTCTTTCCAGACTCATGATGCATAACTAAGGGGTTGCATTACAAATGAAGCAGCAGGCCCAGAGTCTAAATAGCTTAGTCATCCTTCTGTAGCCAATAAGGGAGGACACCTTTGAAATGTGAACGCAGGCCCTGCCTGCCTGACTTCAGAGCTTACGTTCTTTTCCACATCACCTGCCCTGAGCAGTGAGGCGGCAGACACTCAGTTGTGTGTGACTAAGGCTGAAATCACTCTGGTAATGCAAAAGACAGATAGAGAAAGTGTAAGGACAGAGAATTAAACCATCTTCCCCTGTGAAGGCTGTAATGGAATTAGAGTGGGTGGGAATAAAGCTAGGAGCTGTCTGAAGTGTGGACCAGTACATATTCTGGGTATGAGGACAGAGCCCAGTTACGAGAAAATACTAAGACAAGGTCAGCTCAGCTGCTCAAGGGCAGCCACACCAAAGTTTGCTCCTAGATAAAGCAAAGACAGGCAGAGACTCCTGTGAAGTGATAATCCCAGTCAGGCGAGCACGGTCTTGTTTGTGCCTTGTTATAGTCCCTGGGCCTTTAGCCACCCTGCTCTCCTGTCACCCACAGGAACTTCTACCCCAAGCAACTTCCCCCTTCCCGCCTTATGTCCCTAATGTTCTTTCTCAGAACAGCCACTCAATACACAGCCATTGAATTTTGAACTTTTTGACTAGGAAGATACTGACTTTGGTTCCTATTGTTATTATTCACAATACATTATGTCTCTATCAGACTCAGAATGAAAAATGTTGTTTTCTATAATTTTGGAGTTCCTACTTTAAAAACTATTAGCTATGCCCTGGTTGGTGTGGCTCAATGATTAGAGCATCGGCCAGGGAGGGAGAGAGAGCTATTTCTGAAGTCTATATTCTATTCCACTTCATTTTAGAAAAGAGGCGTCTAACATCCAGAGGGAGTAAAATATCCATCCAGTTTAATGGAGAGCCAAGACAAATATGGTCCTTCTCACTCTCTTGATATTACATTTATTTTCTTGAATGGAATCTACACTAATAAAAGAGAAACGCAAATTTGTGTCACTCCGCTACTCCCACCAGACAATCGAATGAGTATGCAAATTAACCCAACAAAGATGGTGGTTAACTTGCATATGCAGGCGCGGAGTGAAGACTGAAGACTGAAGGCTTCGGCTGGACTGAAGACTGAAGACTGAAGACTGGGTCCCGGGTGCCAGAGGAAAACCGGTGCCGGCAGCCAGGGGAAGGAAGGCCTATTGCACGAATCTTCGTGTAACAGGCTTCTAGTATATATATAAATGAAAACAGGGCATACATGACAAAATAAATTCTTTTCCCACCCCTGACTCACTAGGTTCCCACTCTAGGACCTACCCCCTCGGTAACCTCTGTTACCAACTTCTTATGCATCCTTCCCGGAGATCTGTGCATTTACAGATGTAAACTATGTGTGAGCATCACCTTCTGACCTGCAGGCTGCTGCACTTCCCGTTCCTCTCCGCGACAACTGTGGCTTCTATTGCTCAAGATGAGCCATGACAAAACAGATGACACATTCATGCTGCTGAAGGGAAACTCGGTGACTCAGACACAAATTGTTCCATACACCTTTCATCCTCATTACCAGGTAACTCTGCCAAGGTCAAGTGGTGACATTCTGATTTACCACTGAGCAGACTGGACACAATTCACATTTGACGAGAATCTGAAATTCAAATACCAAAAAGAGAAAAAAATATTTTCTTAAGGCCTCCGGTTTCGTAATTGAACTTGCTTTTTTGCTTTGTTGAAAACATTATTTTCCTCTTAGTTCAATGAACACCGTCTATCTGAAAGAATAAAAACAGGACTCTTCCTCAAGTCCCTAATTAACCACCAAACCTTTAAATTCAAGATCCAGTTTTACTACATTCCTGAAATCTCCATTTAGCATCTCAGAGAACAAGGACCAAGGAGCCTCACTGTTTTGAATAGCCAGATTAGGTTGAGCCATATCCAGGCTTCAGGTATGAAATGCAAATTTGGCTAACTGTGGCTCTGCCATTTACAAGAACCTGCATTCAAATAAATCAGAGATACATTTCTCCTGGCTATAGAGAGCTTTTTAAATAGTGACTTCAGCCCTCCTAAGGTTTTTGTCCGGGTTGCCTGAAAGTGGACAATTTTCACAAGTTTGCTTTGGCACCTGTGGCATGAATTTTTATTGAAAGTCACAGTTGTTTTAGTGGGCACCACCGTCTGCCAGCAGATCTCTGTAGGGGCCTCCCAGCCAACTTCATGAGAGCTATGTGCACCTAAAACACGCCAAGCTCTGTAAGGCGTGACCTGTCCTCCAATTCTTTGCTCCCCTTCACACGGCCACTGACTCATTTGCACTTTTGATCAGAGAGCACACTATTGAGTGTTTCTGCAGCATTTCTGAAATCAAACAGCCATCTCCCTATAGAAGACTCCTCTGCTTCTTCCCTGCAAAGATTCCTTTTTCTCTAAAGTTATACTAATTTATTCTGTCAAATCAAACAAGTGAGGCAACACAAGAGAGATAGGTTCATTGGGAACATACATTTTCCATGGAATTAAACAAAATAAAGATTTGGTTGGGAAGAGGTGGGAATGTAGTTTAAAACCCATTCTCAAAATGCCCTTTAAATAAACTGTGGGAAAGATGACTGATTTAGGAGGTTTCAAATAAATCTGCAGGGGTATTTTGAGACCAGAGGTATGTCGTGTCCAGGTATTTGATGATGGCAAAAAAAAAAGACATCTGTTATAATAATGGAGAAAATAAAATGCAGTAAACATTGCTAAGAGAGTCTCTTGAAATAGTCGGTAGGCCACTGAGGAAGTAGGACCTATGCACTTCGTGGAACTATTGTTAAGTTGCTAAATTCAGCCCAAAGCAGAACAACAAACATTCTGGATCCATGATTGTTACGTGGACTTTATTTCCTACTCATCATGATGACCAGACCATCTGCATACTTTACATTGAAAGGAACCAATTTTGACAACTAGCATCCTCCATTTACATAACAGACCTAACCAATCCCAACTGACCTAGCTAGCATCCTCCATTTACACGGAGGTTGGAGGACATAAATGAGAATATCTCCTATGACTTTGCCCTTTATTAACCCTGCCTTTCTTTGTTTCCTTTGCAAAACAATTTAGATTACTACTTGAATCTGTGCTCCACATTGCAATCCCTCCTTTGCTCAAAGAAACCTTTTTATTCTTTATAACAGCCTAAACTTTTGTTGTTGTTAAGTTATTTTTATGTTTCCACACATAAATCATCACATAATCACCAGGAAGTTAAACCAAAATTGGTTTAAATTCAAGTTTACAAGGTCTTTGCCTCAAGAATGAGAATTCCCCCTTTTTTCCTTTATTTTATTATTTTTTTCTGTATGCTATTTTATCATTGTGTTTTGTTACTTTGTATGATTGGCAGGCTCATTAGAATTTTACTTTATAGAACACTTAAGAAGACTTAGCTTATTAATGGCTCAACCTTGAAACAACACAATTCTCATTTAAAAATCAAGCTAAAGGCTGTACAAGTCCCTCCTACCCCCCAAGCAGACTGGGGACCCTGATTCTCTGCGCAAGAGGCAGCACTGAGCACCAGTGACTTGACTCTTGGTGCGCACACGTGGGAACTCTGTTTCTCAAAATGAGCACACGGGATCCCTGATTCTCAGTGCACTCACACTTAGCGCCTATGACTCCAATTCTCAGCACACGCCCACACAGGGACCCTGATTCAAGGCGCCAGGCCACACCAAGTGACAGAGACTCCAACACTCGATTCTCAGCACGTGCACACAGGGTCTCTGACTCCTGGTGCGAGCTAGGGGACTCCAATTTTTGGCGTACGCCCACAGGGACTTTTTTTTTTTTTTAGTGTGGTGCATGCAGGGTCCCTGATTCTAGGTGTGCGCACGAGGCTGCACTGAGCGCTGGTGACTGATTCTCTGCATGCGTGGCTCCCACCGACCCACAGCAGCAACACATCTCGGTGTCAGAGATCTTCAGTGACACTTGGGTGATGCAACACTCCCACTGCACATGGCTCAGGCCCCTGCAACTCAGCGTTTGAACCTTCTGGTGACAGTTAGAATGGGGAGATAATGAAACAATCCTCAGAGGAAAGAAAAAGAGAAATCACCAAGAAAGGAAATAAGTGAAACTGAGTCATGCAATATGACAGAAAAAGAATTCAGAGTAATGGTCATACAGTTCATAAACCAGATGGATGAGAAAATCAACAACCTATGCAAAAATCAGGAAGAAATCAAAAGTGACATAGCTACAATCAAAAATGCTATGGAAGGTTTCAACAGTAGACTAGAAGAAGCAGAGAACTGAATTAGTGAGTTAGAAGATAAAGTAGAGAAACAAGCCCAATCTGAACACCAACTGGAGAAAAAAATTAAAAAACAGGAGGAGAGCCTAAGGGAGCTCAGAGACAACACGAAATAATACACATATAATAGGGTTGCCAGAAGGACAAGAAGAGCAGCAAGGATTAGAGAATCTATTTGAAGAAATAATGACAGAAAACTTCTGTGATATGGGGAAGAAAAAAGTCACACAAGTCCAGAGAGTTCCAAGCAAGATGAATCCCAAACGACCCACACCAAGATACATCATAATTACAATGGCAAATGTTAATGACAAAGAGAGAATCTTAAAGGCTGCAAGAGAGAGACAGAGTTACCTACAAAGGATCCCCCATCAGATTATCAAATGATTTCTGAACAGAAACACTCCAAGTTAGAAGGTAATGGAATGAAGTATACAAAGTGATACAAAGCAAAGGACTGAATCCAAGAATACTCTAGCTAGCAAGGCTATCAATCAAAATTGGAAATATCAGGAGCTTCGCAGACAAAAAAATGCTAAGGGAGTTTATCACTACCAAGCTAGCAATGCAAGAAATGCTAAAGAGACTGCTGTAAAAAGAAGAAATAGAAAGGGAGGAAGGAACACAGGCATAAAGCACAGAAATGGCTATGAACAAGTACCTATCAATAATAACATTAAATGGCCCTAACCAGTTTGGCTCAGTGGATAGAGTGTCGGCCCGCAGACTGAAGGGTCCCAGGTTCGATTCTGGTCAAGGGCCTTGCTTGCGGGCACATCCCCAGTTGGGGGTGTGCAGGAGGCAGCTGATAGATGTTTCTCTCTCATTGATGTTTCTAACTCTCTACCCTCTCCCTTCCTCTCTGTAAAATATCAATAAAATACATTTTAAAAATAATAATAATAACATTAAATGTAAATGGATTAAATGCTCCAATCAAAAGACATCGAGTGACTAAATGGATAAGAAAACATGACCCATATATATGCTGTCTATAGGAGACCCACCTCAGAACAAGGAATTCACACAGACTGAAAGTGAAGGGATGGAAAAATATCTATCAGGCAAATGGAAATGAAAAAAAAAAAGCTGGGGTAGCAATACTAATATCTGACAAAATAGACCTCAAAGTGAAGACCATAACAAGAGACAAGGAACACCACTTCGTAATTCTAAAGGGATCGATACAACAAGAGGCTATAACTCTGGTAAACATATATGCACCCAATGCAGGAGCACCCAAATACATAAAAAAAACTTCTGGAAGATATCAGGGGAGAGATTGACAGCAATACAATCATAGTAGGAGACTTTAATACCCCATTAACATCACTGGATAAATCCTCTAGACCAGTGGTTCTCAACCTTCCTAATGCCATGACCCTTTAATACAGTTCCTCGTGTTGTGGTAACCCCCGATTTCATTGTTACAAATTGAACATAATTAAAGCATAGTGATTAATCACAAAAACAATATGTAATTATATATGTGTTTTCCGATGGTCTTACGCGACCCCTGTGAAAAGGTCGTTCGACCCCTAAAGGGGTCATGACCCACAGGTTGAGAACCGCTGCTCTAGACAAAAAAATTAGCAAAGAAACAGCAATCTTTTTTTAAAAAATATATATTTTATTGATTTTTTACAGAGAGGAAGGGTGAAGGATAGAGAGTTAGAAACATCAATGAGAGAGAAACATCGATCAGCTGCCTCCTGCACACCCCCTACTGGGGATGTGCCCGCAACCAAGGTACATGCCCTTGACCAGAATCAAACCTGGGACCCTTCAGTCCGCAGGCCGACGCTCTATCCACTGAGCCAAACTGGTTAGGGCAGAAACAGCAATCTTAAATGACTCACTAGATCAGATGGACTTAATTGACATCTTTAGAACATTCCACCCTAAAACTACAGAATACATATTCTTCTCAAGCACACATGGGACATTTTCAAAGATAGACTACATATTGGGTCACAGGCAAAGTCTCTCCAAATTCACAAAGATTGAAATCATATCAAGCATCTTCTCAGATCACAATGGCATAAAATTAGAAATCAACTACAATAAAAACAATCACAAAAATTCAAACACTTGGAGGCTGAATAGCATACTATTAAACAATGAGTGGGTTACCAAAGAAATCAAAGAAGAAATTAAAAACATCCTGGAAATAAATGACAATGAAAACACAACAATTCAAAATCTTTGGGACACAGTGAAAGCAGTCCTGAGAGGAAAGTTCATATCATTACAGGCCTACCTCAAAAAAACAAGAAAAACTGGTAATAAACCATCTAAATCTGCAACTTGAAGAATTAGAAAGAGAGCAACAAGAA